TCCTTATTATCTCTTAACTTCTCCATCAAACCTCTCAATAAATGTATGGCTTCCATAGTATACATGTCCGACATAAATACAAATTAATTATGAAAAATCTTTGTAATACGTTTTAACTTATGTTCAATTACTTTCTCCCATAATTTTAAAATATGACACATCAACTTAATTCCTCTATAATTGACACACTCTTGTGCTTCCCCTTTATTCTTAAAAATGGAGACCAAAACACTCTTCCTCCACTCCTTAAACTTCTTTTTATTTTTTAAAATAATAGGTAAGCCAAGGAACTCCCAAATTTCCTAAACATTTTCATACTTCAATTGGGATATCATCAGGTTCTACAGACTTTCCACCCTTGATTTTTTTTAAAGTCTCATCAACTTGTTTTTTACTAATGCGACGGTAAAAATGAAACGTTTTATTATTATTAACGATATTATGATCACTAAGGCCGATCGTATTTTAAGAAACTTCATTAAAAAGTTTATCAAATAACTCACCACCTATGTTGAATATCTTTTTTCTAAGAAAAACACTTTTCGATTTTCATCTTTAATACACTTTACTTGAGTTAAATTTTTACTTTTTTTTTCTCTTTATTTGACTAATTTATACATATATTTTTCATGCTCCTTAGTATCCAATATATTATATAGATCATTAAAAGTAGAATTTTCAGCGTCACATATTGTTCTTTTAGACTCCCTGCGGGTTGTTTGATATTTTTCCAGTTCTCTTGCACATTATTATTCCACCACCAACTATTTTTATTTAAAGAAATTTTTTCTTTTGATTCTCCAAGTACATCTTTGCTACTTGTTTAATAGTGTTTCTTGCTTTATCCCACATAGCATTTGTTTCATCATAAACATCCCAAATTTTGAAGCTTTGAATTTTACTTATAAAAATAATTTTATCTATGTCTTTTAGATTCCCCAACTAATTCTACGATAATGAGTCCTAATATTCTTTATTTTACAATTCTTCATCTTAAAATCTAGAACTAATAAAGGATGTTGGGTACTTAAATCCTCACTTGGAATGACCTTACAATCTTTACAATCCCGACAATCTCATCTTGTCATAAGAAAATAATGAAGTTATGCTTTATTAAATCCATTCTTATAAGTAATAAGATGCTCATCTCTTTTCTTGAATAAAGTATTAGTAATAACAAAATCATACGCTAAAGCAAAATTTAATATATTTCTACTTTCTCCATTTCTACTTTCTTCATTAGTCACTCCAAAGTCGTAGCAACCATGAATATTTCTAAAATCTTCTACCACTCTATCGACATGTCCTTTTAAATCTCCTCTAATAAAAATTCTTTCTTCAAGAGGTATCATTTGTATTAAGTCTTCTAAGTCATTCAAAAATTTATTTTGACCCTATATCTAAATCTACTTGAGGAGCATAAGCACTTATAATATTAAAAATCTTATTATCAATGATAATCTTAAGGGCTATAATTATATCTTCCAACTCTATTATTTTTACAATATTGTCTTTCAAACTCTTATCTATAATCGCACATACATCATTTCTAGTGCGACTCTTACCAGAATACCAACGTTTAAAACCTAAGTTATCAATCTCCTTAGCTTTTTTTCCAACCCATTTAGTTTCTTGAATACATAAAATATTAATCTTTCTATGAATCATAATGTCAAATAATTCTATTAATTTACCATTGAGAGTACCAATATGCCAAGATCCTATCCTAATATTAATTTCATTAATTTTATGGACAAACTTCTTTACCCACATTCGTCCGTAATGTGGAAACCCTTGTTTATTTGACACTAAACCCAAGCGTCGGTATAACGGCTTTTGCACAATTTTCATTGTATTCAGGCTATACAACTCGTCGCTTCTAGGGGACGCCCTAGCACTTACACAAACTTGCACAATTTTCGTTGTATTCAGGCTATACAACTCGTCGCCCTAGCACTTACACAAAGATCAAAAGAATTCATGTCATGATTTTTTTTGACAAGTTTTACGTTGGGTCGACTACCTAACGCAACCCTCCCTCACTTTTCACATTCGGGTTTGGGGCCGACAATGACAGTCTTTAAAAAAAATTATATTTGACAACATAATGAATTATTTAAAAATAACCCAGGAGTAATCATAGTTCTAAAATATAGTAACCCGAGTAAAAAAATAATATGCATGTTGGATTTTCATTTCTCTATAAGAATTATTGGAATATGCTATATCACAACCCGACCTTAAGGCTTAGAATTAACTAAGACGGGTCCAGACGGTCGAAAGGTGAGAATCAAATTTTTATATTCTTCTCCAATTTAATGGATGAAAGAGTCACAACAAATTAAATTAAAACAATATAATTAAAATTACCTCGCTGGTGGTTATTCACATCTTCTATAAACAGTTATTCGTTTATCGCTCTTTTTTTTAATAATTTAATTAAACCTGAAAAATCTATTAAGAAAACCATGAACTAAAAAAGCTAGTGAATACTCATACTTCTAAACTACACTAATACAAGAAGAGAAAAAACAATATGCATACCAGTTAAGATTCTTTATAAATCAATAAAAAAATTTGACAAGTTACTCAAATGGGTTTATATAATTATCAAATTAATATTGTTTCATATCTATACAACAGTTACAAGAGGCACCGTCTAAAAGTTCTTTCAATTAAGACACATCAATATCAATATCATTTTTTCTTAACATACAATAATACATTAGTGTTCCCCCACAAGTACCATCAAGCATACAAAAAATGTATGAATAAGTTAGCTACAACATTCATAACATTATAACCAATAAAGAAAATAATATTTCAATCAAAATAAAACACACAAATATCATCAACTACAAACAAATTTGAGAATAAACTGACTATTTAAATTATTTAAAAGTGCAAGTACTCACCTCAACAAAAGACAATCTGATTGCTCTTGAGATTAATTCTTTTAAAATCAAATGCCTAAAACATGCTATAAAATTTAATTAATTTAATTACGCTTAATTTCTATTCAATAAATATATTTTAAATATCTTACTAGTATTATAATTATTATTATTTTTATTATTCAAAATATAAGTATTAGAAGTCTTAAGAAAAAATTTAATTAAAAATTTTAAACTCACCTAATAACTTTCGGTCAAACCCTAAGCTAGAAGAAACTTTCTACCTTCCCTGCATGTGATTCTAAGCTTTTGCGCACAAGAGAACTTCTGCTTGTTCCTTCCTTCGCACGATACTGTTCGGTTCGACTGAACTCCTTAAGGGTCTGTTTGGGGCAGCTGCAGCTTATCAGCTTCTGCTGATAAACAGCTTATCCTGATAATCTGCTGATGACCAGCTGATCCGGATAAGCTGTCTGGCTGTTTGGCTAGTGCGTCTGGAAAACAGCTGATTCTGTAAAATCGACTATTCTGCCCTTGTTTTGAATAAGTTGTTTAGTTGTTTGGTTAGTGCGTTTTGTA